TTGCAGGCTCATGTTCATCTTGTGGTCAATGATGACCCCCAAGTCTCTTTCTTCTGTAGTGCTAGCCAGTGTAGCACTGCTGAGCCTATAAGGATGCTGCAAGTTTTTCCTCCCAAGGTGGAGAACCTTACATTTTTCAACATTAAACACCATCAGGTTCTCGTCTGCCCATTTGCTGAGCCTGTCCAGGTCAGCCTGGATTGCCCTCCTGCCTTCTGGTGTGGATGCTTTGTCCCAAAGTTTGGTATTATCAGCAAACTTGGCCAGTCCACTTCTGACTCCAGTCTCCACACCATGAACAAAGATGTTGAACAATATGGGTCCAAGGACAGAGCCTTGGGGGACCCCACTGGTCAAAGGGCACCATGATGATTGACTTCGTCAGTTGCCACCCTCCAGGTCCAACCACAGAGCCAGTTCTCCAGCCAGCGGATCGTGGTGGACCCAGTTGATGGCATGTGGTCGCTTAACAAGCAGAGGAAATCCTTAGCACAACTAGGCAATGAGAGATGGGTGGGTTGGCCTTCCCCATCCCTCTTTCCCCAGTTTGCCTTGGCTTCAAGTCCCTCAGGTCTCACAGTGGAGCCACCAGGGAAGCAGGTCCTTCTTCCCTCCGTCTGGGAGGCACCTACTCTCTCTTTGAGTATTTTGTCTTGCCATGGCCATCTCAGGCTCAGTGGGCGGCCTGTGACGATTGAGCCATATCTTCAAAATAAACGGAGCCGAGAAAAGAAAAAAAACTGAGCCAGTGGTTTGGGAGCATCCACCTCCGACTCCACTGCAGATCTCTCCCGCTTTGGGGCTCTTTCTTCCTCCTCTTCACCCTCCTCTTCACCCCTTAGGCGAGGTTTCCACTGCTTCTTTGGAGTCCCACCGGACGCTTACCCTGTCCTTGGGGCATTCTCCCAGTGTCTCTCACTCCCAGGCTTCATTCTTGCCTTCTTCCACCGTCCTCGCTCTTCTCCCTCCCCTGGTTCTGCCCCCAGCCCCCGGATGTTACCCCAGCAGTGGATTTGCACCAATCCACTTCACCTGCTGAGGTGATAAAGCCAGGCTGGGACGGACTGGGAGTTCCCGCCACAGCATGAAAGTTCTGTTCCTGTGAGGTCTGTGTCCCTGCTCGGGGAGGCATCCTAAGTGAGTATCTTACAGTTCCTCACAACTTGTGCTACAATATATGAACCATGATTAGAACTAAAGGACTAATCACTCTGTGGTCACCCTACAAAACTATATGTTGCAACTTATTGGACACCTACATGTGCACTTACAGCACTGTTGTTACTACGCCATCATTTAGTCCTTCCAAAAGGAACTCCGGCGGGACACGGCTTCTGCTGCTATGCACACCCCGCGAAGCACAGGGGACGTGTTCCCCTGGATCTGCATGGGACAGGGCAGGCCGCCTCTAGGGCTGGGGCAGTGCTGGGGTCTTCCCAGGGGGGCAGGCCAGGCCACACTTGAAGCAGGTGGTGGCAGTGCTGGGAGGCACTATGGCAGGGGGGATGCAGCCACCCCAAAATTTGCCACAGCCTCCCTGACCTTCCCTTCCAGCACCGCTGCCGCCTACCGGGAAGAGCCCAGCACATTCCTGGCCCCAGCCTACAGCAGCAGCCTGCCCCGGCCCATGCAGATCTGGGGGCACGTACCCCCATGCCCTCCTAGGTCGCATGCAGCAGCAGGAGCTGCCCCCCCCCCCCCCCATGCCCCCTGGACGAGCCGCAGCTCCATCCTGCACCCTGCCCCGCCTTGCCTTGCCCCGGCTGGGCTGCGCCTGCCCTGGCCCCTGCCCATAACTCTCTTCTTGAGAGTTCCTGTGTAGTAGAGGTGTACCAATACATCAGTCAGGTATCAGATATCAGTCCAATGGGGCCAGTAATTTGGCCAGTAAATACCTGTGCTGCGCGCAGCCTCACTCAGGCAGCAAGGAGCACAGCTGGCAGCATGGAGAGCTACCTCCAGCTAGTAAGTCCAGTGTAGTGGAAGGGGAGAGGGGAGGGAAGGGGTGTTGGGAGTGCAGATCAATGCCCCTTGCGGTGAAGGAGGGGGCAGGGGCAAGCACTGTCAGGGTCGGGGGAGAGGGGAGAATCCATGGCTCATGGCAGGGAGGTGGCTCCTGCTACTGCTTGCACCCAGGGAGGGAATGGTAGGCATTCCTCTCAGATATGTGCGGGGAATGCTGCAGCCAAGGCTGCGTGGGGCTCTTTTTGGTGATGGCTGGGCTTGGAGTGGGCGCCAGCAGCACTGGGAGGATGCTGCATCCACCCCACATTTCACCTCTGCTTTGCTCCCAGCACTGCCACTGCCAGCTTCCCGGTGCCACCCCAGCTCTTCCTGGCGTGTGGGAGGAAGTGAGGCCTTGAGCCAGGGCTGCGCCAGGTGGCTGGTGGTGGCAGCGGCACTGGGAGCAGAGTGGCAGCAAAATTTGGGGTGGATGCAGCATTCTCCCAGCGCCACTGGCACCCACTCCAAGCCCAGCCTCAGGTGCAGCCCACCCCGCACAGATCCGGGGGGCATGCCCTCCCAGGGTGCAAGCAGCAGCAGGAGCTGCCTTCCCCACACAAGGTACAGCTCTGCCCCACCCTGCCCTCTCCCTCACGGTAGGGGGCATTGATCTGCCCCCCCCCCCTTCCCTTTCCACCACACTGGACTTACCAGGTGGAGGCAGCTGCATCGGAAATCAGATCAGTATGGACTGATATTCCTCCTTAAATGTCAGCTATTGGTATCAGCCCCAAAAATCTATCGGTGTACCCCTACTGTGTAGACAAATTCTTAAATACTTACATGATTCATCTTAGTGTTGTATTTGAGCATTTCACAAGCTTTTATATTTGTTTGCACTCAAAGCATCCTGGTGAGTTAGGAAAGGGCTGTTATCCCATACAAATAGAATTCTTACATCTATGCTGGCAGAAAGCATTCTCTTTAGTTGTATTACCTAACAATACCTTCCACTCACAGGTGGTCAGAGTATTTTAGGGAAGAGCTTGCACTTTTCTGCTATCGGTGCTGTACATATTCTGAGAATGAATGAATGAAGAATTACACTTACCCATGCTGAACCCAACATCAGAACGCAATCTTTTCAGAATAGTTTCAGAGCAAGAGCTGGCCATAATCTGGCATTTATTTTCTTGTTTTCATTTGTTTTTTTAAAAACCCACTTTGGAATTTTTTTTTTAAGACTGTTGTACTATCAGTGTACTACTTTTAACTTCCCAGGTTCCAGTGCACACTCTTGGGAACAACTGTGTTTTAAAATGGGGGAAATAGCTCCAAAGTTTAGAGCATTGAGAATTAAAATACAATTTATTCTTTAAAATTTGTTAGGTCTAAAGTTGGTCTGTGGCTTGAATTTCTCACTGGGATTAACCAGTGAGAAATTCAAGCCATAGACCAAGTTTGTCCTAGTAAAGTGAAGCAACCTTAGTAGGCCATCAGCATGTATTAACTGGGAACATAAGTTATTAAATCATCAGTACTCTGCTTTTATAATGTGTACGTATAACAGCAATGTTAACCATTCTTGTTTTCAGCTTCATTAAAGAATTCTCTTATCTTGTTTCTGTTTGCAGGCAATACTATGCCTACCTCACAGACACACAGTGCAAAAGGGTAGGAACTCAGTGCTGGGTGTTTGGGTAAGTGTTCTCATCTGTCAGAAGTCTTACCAACATAATACTGCATGCCGTATTTTTATTGTTTTTAAGTGTCAGCAATATGCTCAGTGCAGTCCTAGCTATGATGTGAAGCTAGTCTTTGTTCCACATTGCTTTCAGTCTAAAAGACGGGCATAAAAAAGGCTCCTTGGAAGCTGAAGAAAAGAGAATATTAGATTTGAGGGATGAGGAGACAAGGGAAGGAAGCTATGTAAGGACTATGGAGTGATAGGACATCTGCATTCTTTTTCTGCGTAACCACTGATGACTTGGCCTCAGCAAATTACTTACCTCTAAGGGCATTAATTTTAAGGCTGCAAAGTGATGCTTGCTTATTGTCAAGAATATGAAAAGCTTAAATTAGAGAGCAGACTATGGTCTTATATGAGGCCACAATTTCCTTATTTCAGTAACCATTACCTACATGAGAATAACATTTTTGGTCCATAATAAACAATAATAATTTGTATTCTGATAGCGCTTAAGAGGTTTAGTTGGAGACCAAAATCCCATTGTGCTATATACTGTGCAAATGTTTATACATCCCTTTAGGGTCCTTTGGCAAAAGGTGTTTTGTGAATGCAAAATATTAAAAGATAAAGATTATTTTTGTAGCTGCTCATATACCATGTTATCTTGCAAGATGAATCTTTTTCTGCATAGGAAAACTTATTCTCTCTGTATTTATTTTGTCCAATATTTTTTCTCCACCATCAACCCTAGATAGATTGTTGGTTAACAAATCTTATATTTGTAAGTAAACGTGAAAATTAGTCTTCAGTTACCTGTTTTCTGGCACAGTATGCTTCCTACAATCTCAATAATTAAATTATACTGTATTACAGAGCAGTATCCCTAAAGTATGAAGCAGATCGAGAGTGGTCTCTGGGCTGGGGTGCAGTGAGTTTGGAATTTCCAGTACAATTATTAGGATGGTACAGCTGCATGTTTGTGGCTCTAAGTCATATACAAATAAGGAGTGATGCCTCTGCTCTATTTAGCGTCCTCACAGGATGCACTGTCCCTACCATTCTTTAATGCAATTGTAGAAAAAAAAACATTACAGTTGCTGCAAAATTATTAGGATGGGCTGAGTTTATATAGCCTGCCCTTCCATTTTGGATATGTTAATAATTGGCTGTAGAACAGACAAAAAGGATGATACTAAGCGTGGTTGGAGACTTAAAGGAAGCAGCGAGAAAAATGGGATATAAGAGCTCTTTGCGTAAACTACCAATGATGGGGAGAAATAAGTGGCTGACAAAGTAGTGGGCAGCAAATTGTGAAACTAACTGAGCCTCATTTGGGCCTACGTTTCCAGGGCAGGAGTTGTAGGCTTTGAAGCCATGACAGCCACACAAGTCTGAAAATTTGGAGGGGGTGGTGGAGTGGCAATGTTCATTGCTGCTCCCTTGCTGCCAAATTTCCATGGGGAGCACTATGTACTAGAGAGCAACAGCTCACCAGGTTGCACCAACAGACTCACCCTGTGTGCTGATGCCACCCACATGATAGGGACGATCCTGGCTCAGGCAGGAGGTTGAAATAAATGACCTCTGAAGGTCCCTTCCAGGCCTACTTCTCTGGTTCTATGATTCACATAAAAGCTCAGCTTCTAAACCAGTGGTTCTCAACCTTTTTAGACTTAAGGGACCTCTTGTTAGACACAAGGTACCCCTTGAAAAATACAAGCTCTTAGTTTTCATTCGTTTTTTAACTATAGGTTAATAATAAAGCAATTCTTCTGTTGCAAAGAATTCAGAATGATAAGAGGTCACACCCCATAACACCCCTGAAGGGATCTCAAAGAGAGTCATAGAACCAGAGAAGTAGGGCTGGACGGGACCTTCAGAGGTCATTTATTTCAACCTCCTGCCTGAGCCAGGATCATCCCTATCCAAACCATCCTGTACACTGCATAATCTAAACCATACATAAGACTACCATCAACCCTAACAACAGAGACCTAACACCCTAACCTGCCACAGATAAAGTAGGGGAACCACAGCAGCCAATGCTCTGCTTCTATGAAATGTTGTTAATATATGCACAAAAAATCCCAGCTAGAAGGCCATGCTCTCCACTACAGGAAGGCAAAAATCTTCACAGTCCATACCAGTCTGACCATGGGGTAAAATTCCTTCCTGACCCCAAATGTGGCGATCAGTCTAACCCTGAGCAGAGGGGTAAGACAAAGAAATTGCCTAATCTTTTGTAAGGATTAAACTTCTTTTCAAGAATGGATCAAGAAATGAAGTGAATGTGTGCATACTAATGGATCAGTCACTAACCAATGCATGTTTCAGACTGAAAAAAACACCATCCCAAGAGCCTGGCTCACCTTGCTGTAATGGAGTAATTGGAAATGTTGCTGCTCTTGGAGAGACTAAAAGTTAGCAGTAGCTTTCAGGGCCCTGCTATATGTATGAAAAGTGGCAATGTTTGCAACCCATAAGAACCGGGGTCAGAAGTCCCCCAGTACGTGTCACAGCATGGCACGTGAAGCCATTTTGCTTAGCATACCACAGCTGGCCCAGGCCGGCCACAGAACCTGGGCTGTTTGCAGGAGGCAGCTGGAAGGCTGCAAGCCCTGCTGCAAGCAGCCTGGGCTCCATGGCCGGCAGCAGCTGCCCAAAGCCTGGGCCGACTGCAGCTGGGGGACTGTAAACCACTGCACCTGGCTCCTGAGCCCTAGCCAGGCTCCATGGCAGCAGTGGCTGCATGCATGCCTCTGGGTGAATGGTGGGGGAGAGGCCTGGGCCAGTGTAGCCTTGGCCCCTACCCCGCCATCCACTCGGAGGTGCATATGTAGCTACCACTGGCACCGTGGAGCCAGTGCTGGTCCTCCAGAGCCTGTTGCAGTTGTTTGCAGCCAGCCAGCTTCCTGCTACTGCCTGGGCTGGCTGTGGCAGGCAGTAAGGAGGCTGCAAACAGCTGCACTGAGCTCTGGAGCCCATGGCCAGGTTCCCTGGTAGCGATGACTGCATGCACATGTCCAGACAGACAGCAGAAGAGGGGCTGGAGTTGCACTGCCCCAGGCCCCTCCCTCACTGTCCTCCCATAGGGGTGCATGTGCCTGCTGCCACCATGGAGCCTGACTGGAGCTCTGAAGCCTGGTACAGCTGCACCAGGCTTCAGAGCCCTAGCGTTGGCTCTGTGACAGCAGTGACTGTACGCATACCTCAGGGCTCAGGACAGGGAAGGGGCAGGGGCAACACAACCACCCGGAGGTATCCACCCAGAGGTACGCATGCAGCTGCCACCAGCAACAAGGATTGGGCCCCTCACAGCTCCCCCATTGTCTGCCCCTGGCACACCAAGTCAAGGCATGGGTGGAGGTTGGGGTGTTTTTGGCACTCTGGCCAAAAACATTGCTGACCCCTACATTAGAATAGTGGGGAGTGGATAACAAGAGAAGGCTGAGGGGGACCTGGTGACCGTCTATAGACTCACTAGGGGGGACCAGAAGGGTTTGGGGGAAACGCTGTTTCCCCTAGCGCCCGCTG